TTCAGCAGCCACGGGAAACGTATATAAGCTACTTTCTGAAAATGAAAACAAACAAAAAAACTAAGCAAACACAACATCTAATTAAAAAAGCAAAGCAAACCATCAACTCCATGGAGATTCATTTCATTTGAAACATACTGAAAGGAGCAAGACCCTTCAGGCGAGGGACTAACTTCTGTGCTTGGGTTCGCTGCGTTCCCACGGGCGTTAGCAGCCGCCTGTTGATCTCCAGTCCCTGCACAGGTGCCTCCCTCGGGGGGCAGGACTTGTGTCTGTCACCCCCCCTTTCACGGGGCAGCCTGAGGATGCTGGGGGCCACTGGAAATTAAATTTAGAAGCAGGAAGGGCTGGGCACAGTGGCTCAAACCTGTAATCCCAGCACTTTGGGAGTCTGAGGTGGGCAGATCACGAGGTCAAGAGATCGAGACCATCCTGACCAACATGGTGAAACCCTGTCTCTACTAAAAATACAAAAATTAGCTGGGCATGGTGGCGCATGCCTGTAATCCCAGCTACTCAGGAGGCTGAGGCAGGAGAGTTGCTTGAACCTGGCAGGCGGAGGTTGCAGTGAGCCAAGATAACACCATTGCACTCCAGCCCAGGCAACAGAGCAAGACTCTGTCTCAAAAAAAAAAAAAAAAAAAAAAAAAAAAAAAAAAAAGGAAGCAGGTATGCCACTATGCGAGTTCAAATTCAAACCTTCCAGATACAGACAAAGCGCTGTCTTCACTCAGGGCTGGGCCGCCTTTCCTGGCCTTTTAGAGAAAATCCCAGGCTGCAGGTGAGAAGCCGAGCCTTCCAGCCCTCAGATGAGGGGAGTGTGAGTTCCGACCCAGGGCAGGTTGGACCGGGAAGCTGAGTGGGGGTTGAGGGCCTGGGCTTCACTTTCCTCTGGGAGAGCTTGAGCCCCAGGCCCAGCCTGAGTTCTTAGTACCCGGAACCAGGCAGAGGCGGGTGTGGGAAGGGCAGGGCTGGGCCCCACCGGCCCCTTTGTTTGCCGTCCCGGTTGGGTGAGTACACCCATCCCCTCACTGCGGCTTTGTTATTCCAGAGTGTGCTGTGCTTGGCCACTGGCTGGAACTTGGAAAGCAAACACTCCCAGATGTCACATATTTTAAAAGTAGAAACAAGATCATTTGAAGTATGAAAGGGAGGAGAAATACACCTTAAGCTTCACGCCTCCTGTGAACGCACAGGATTTATAAAGGCCAGCCGCCCACCTGGACAGGTGGCCGTGAGCACTGGCTCGCATGCGTGAGTGTGCAGTGGGCGTGCAAGTATGCACCTGTGTGTGACAGGATGTGAGGTGTGTCAACCTGTGTGTATGTGTGAGCACCGGTGTGAACAGATGCTGTACTGGAACGAGCACAGAAAGTTAATACCAAGACAAAAGTATGCTAAATTATATGGATACGTGTGTACATGTGGGAGACATTGTGAGTGTACATGTGTGAATAAGGTCAGGAGTTCGAAACCAGGAGTTCGAGAAACCCCATCTCTACTGAAAATACAAAATTAGCCGGGCATGCTGGCACATGTCTGTAATTTCAGCTACTCGGGAGGCTGAGGCAGGAGAATCGCTTGAACTCAGGAGGCGGAGGTTGTGGTGAGCCGAGTTCGCGCCATTGCACTCCAACCTGGACAATAAGAGCAAAACTCCGTCTCAAAAAAAAAAAAAAAAGCATTGTGCATATGTATGTGCAAGCATGTGTGTGCACATAGCCCACCTGCAGGGTGGCGGAGTGCGGCACCTGTGATGGGCTAACCCCCAGTAGTGGGGAGTGGTGGGAGATTCGCCTCCGCTGGTGGTGGGAGCCTGGACGGGGGTCTAGGGCTGCCTCCTCTCCGGCTGCTTTACCTCTGAGTGAGGTGGGAAGCCTCTCTGTTCTCATTTCCCTGGGGGCAGCCCCTGCCAGTGCGTTAACAGGTGGGTGGGATCCTGCCCTGACTCCTGGGGTGGAGGAGAAAGCACCCCCTGGCCTGTGCCTGGTTCTGACCTGGGCGTCAGCTCTGCTGCCTGCAGGCCCTTGGAGTTACTGGCGTGGAGGCTGTGCAGGTTCAGGAAATTCAGCAAAAGGTCAGCGATTTCAGCCCTGCTCGTTTTTGAGACGGCTCCATGCTGGAGTCTGGAGTCACCTTGGCTTAGCCAGTTACATGTGATTAGGTGTTACCTGGTCTTGAAGACAGGGAGATGGCTGGGGGAGGCAGAGGGAGAACTGGATCCTTCAGAAGCACCATTCACTTCTGATGACTGTTCCCCTCCTTAGAAATCAGCTACATTTGTTCCTTAAAAGCTCATTCAAAGCATTCCCTTGGGGGCTTGCTTTCCTAAAACTAAGGACTGAACTCTGCAATCAGCAGTGGCGGAGGCCGGCCTCCCTGAGAAACAGACTCCAGGCCCCAGCTTAGGAGGCAGTGGGTGTTGGGGGTTTCAGGAGCTACGCCTGGGGGCAGTAAGGAGCCCGGGCCTGGGCAGGACGAGGCCAGCTGCCCAGCGGGTAGACCAGGCCTTGGGCACCCCACGGTGTGCTGCAGAGCTGGGACGGCCCCTCAGGGGTGGCCTGCGTGGGGCCGTCTGATGGTCAATGTGTCCACGCGTGGGGGCTGCCCCAGTGAAGATGGTGAAACAGGGCCAGGAGGTAGAATCTGAGCGCAGGGTCTCAGCTAGAAGCCATCAGCAATCCACACCCCAGAGCCCAGTCTTGGAGGGGAATGGTGGGGGTATACCTGAGCACCCACCCTTGATAGCACCTGGTTCCTTTTTTAGTTTTAAAAGTAGGTGTTAGAGTTTAACGGTCAGTGTCTAGTCTTTTAAATGTGCCAGTTGCCTCATACGTACCCGCTGTGGACACAATTGCGCCCCCACAAATGTCTGCATTGAAGCCCTCTCCCCCAGCAATGTGACGGTATCTGGAGATGGGCCCTTTAGGAGGCACTTAGGTTCAGATGGGTTCCGCCAAGGAGGGTGGCTCCCTCAAGACCAGGAGTTCGAGACCAGCCTGACCAACATGGGAAACCCCCGTCTCTACTAAAAAGAAAAATTAGCTGAGTATGGTGGCGTGCACCTGTAATCCCGGCTACTTGGGAGGCTGAGGCAGGAGAATCACTTGAACCCAGGAGGGAGAGGTTGCAGTGAGCTGAGACTGTGCCACTGCACTCCAGCCTGGGCAAAGAGTGAGACTCTGTCTCAAAAGACCCAAAAAAGTCATTTGTGGGCCGGGTAGTGGCTCACACTTGTAATCCCAGCATTTTGGGAGGCCCAGGCAGGTGGATCATTTAAGGCCAGGAGTTTGAGACCAGACTGGCCAACATGGTGAAAACTGTCTCTACTAAAAATACAAAAATTAGCCAGGCATGGTGGCTCATGGATTGGATGAGGGAGATGCAGATTGCAGTGAGCTGATATCACACCACTGCACTCCAGCCTGGGTGACAGAGTAAGACTCTGTCTCCAAAAAAAGTGTCACTCGTGTGTGACGTTTGACTCGGCAGTGTTAAGAGATTTTCTCCAGAGAGTCTTAAAGCACACCAAGGTTTCTATAGGAGAATGTTGACTGGAAAGTCACTTGCCCTTAAAGGAATTGTAAATGGCCCACATGCCCGTGGGTTGGATGTGAGCCATGCATGTTTAGACGTGGTCCTCTGATGGAATACTGCCATTTGAGATGGAGTTTTGCTCTGTTGCCTAAGCTGGAGTGCAGTGGTGCAATCTCAGCTCACTGCAGGGTCCGCTTCCCGAGTCCCAGCAGCTCTCCTGCCTCAGCCTTCCAAGTAGCTGGGATTACAGGCACACGCCACCACGCCTGACTAATTTTTGTATTTTTAGTAGAGACGGGTTTCCCCATGTTTGCCAGGCTGGTCCCAAACTCCTGATCTGGGGTGATCCACCCGCCGTGGCCTCCCAAAGTGCTGGGATTACAGGCGGGAGCCACGGCGCCTGGCCCCTGCCATGCTTTTTGCAGTTTTGTTTGTTTGTTTAGTATGTGAATCGAATATTTTAAAAAATGCATTCATTTAAAACTCTGTAACTGGGAGAGAATGTTGTTGGAAATTTTCTGGTCATTGGAAGCCCCTGAAGGTCTGAGAGGAGACTCCGGCCAGTGTTCACCACACAAGCCAGAGAAGGCAGCATGGGCTGCGTGGGTTGCAGGCCACTGTCCCCATCTGGGGGTGGGAGTGTCACCGGCCACACCTCTGGAAGCATGGTGAACATGAGACTGCCCACCCAGCAGATGAGGTTCTGAGCACTCATGGTCTGAGGCGCCGATGGGGAGGGGACAAAGGCAGTGTGCTCTGGGCCACCCTGCTGGTTTCTCCAGGAAAGCTTCCAGAACCTTCCTGTCACAGAGGAGTTTAAACTCTGGGGAGGACATCAGAGCAGGGTGGTGCCTGCCCTTCAGGAGCTCACAGGCTGGTGGGCGAGACGGGCAAGATTAGAACCGACCAGACAGTGTGAGGGGTCTGCGTGTGGGGTGGGAGGGCTGGCGGCAGGCAGGGCAGGCGGACTGCTCAGAAGTGGCCTTTGGGCCATGTGATGGTGGCATGCTCCGAATCTCCGACGAGGCTCCCTGCATTCTGCCATCACATGGGCACAGGCGTGGGGAGGGACGTGAGGCCCTCTGGTCTGTTTCTGGCACGCCCCTCGGAAGAGTCCAGCTCAGCCCGCAGGGTGCTCACAACAGGGTTGGAGGCGGGGAAGGGCCCGTTGCTGCATTTTCTTTGACCCCAGGGAGTGCTTTTTGGAACCCCCTCCCCATCGGCCACCATCCTTGGCTTGCCCACCGGAAGCTGGGTGCAGCCAACTCTGGGACAGCTCTGGGCAAGTCCCCAAGAGCTGGGGGGTTTCTGTTCATGTCACAGCCCTGACCTGGAGTCAGTCGGGTTTTCTTTCAGCAGCTGACTCTGTGGCTGGGGTGTGCCCGGGGTCCTCGAGGGGCCCCGGGGGCTCTTCCCTGGCTGCTCGGTAACCTCGTCTCTGGCGTCTTCCTCTCACCCCCCAGGAGAGCGCTGCGAGGTGGATGCCCGCTCAGGCCGCTGTGCCAACGGGGTGTGTAAGAACGGTGGCACGTGTGTGAACCTGCTCATCGGTGGCTTCCACTGTGTGTGCCCCCCCGGCGAGTACGAGAGGCCCTACTGCGAGGTCACCACCCGGAGCTTCCCACCCCGGTCCTTTGTCACCTTCCGGGGCCTGAGACAGCGCTTCCACTTCACCGTCTCCCTCACGTGAGTGTGCCTCCCGCCCCATCACACAGGCCCCTTTAGGAAAGGGGCGAGCTGTCTCCATGCTCCCATCCTTCCAGATCGTGATGTCTGTGTCCTCCACGTGTGGCCTTTGACCGTTGGACACCTCCAGGCCAAGCGTGGTGGCTCACACCTGTAATCCCAGGTGGGTGGATCACCTGAGGTCAGGAGTTCAAGACCAGCCCGGCCAACATAATGAAACCTCCATCTCTACTAAAAATACAAAATTAGGCCGAGTGTGGTGGCTCACGCCTAAAATCCCAGCACTTTGGGAGGCCAGGGTGGGCAGATCTCAAACCAGATCATGAGTTTGAGACCAGCCTGGCCAACGTCGTGAACCTCCGTCTCTACTAAAAATAAAAAAATTAGCTGGGTGTGGTGGCATGCGCCGGTAGTCCCACCTACTCGGGAGGTTGAGGCAGGTGAATTGCTTGAACCCTGGAGGTGCAGGTTGCCATGAGCTGAGATTGTGCCACTGCATTCCAGCCTGGGCAACAGAGTGAGACTCTGTCTAAAAAAAATTAATAAAATACAAAATTAGCTGGGCATGGTGGTGCACGCCTGTAATCCCAGCTCCTTGGGAGGCTGAGGCAGGAGAATCACTTGAACCAGGAGGCGGGGGTGGCAGTGAGCTGACATCGCACCATTGCACTCCAGCCTGGGCAAGAAGAGCAAAACCTCTTCTCTCGCGTGGTGGTGGGTGCCTGTAATCCTAGCTACTCGGGAGGTGGAGGTTGCAGTGAGCTGAGATCACACCACTGCACTCCAGCCGGCCGACAGAGTGAGACTCCCGTCTCAAAAAAAAAAAAAAAAAAAGTTAGAACAATTTATATATAGTAGCTTTTCATATTGTGGGGGTGCATGTGAAATTTTGATAACCTTATACAATATATAGTGATTAAATCAGGGTAATTGGAAATTCATTACCTCAAACATTCCTGTATTCTTTGTATTGGTAACACTGCAACTTTTTTATTCTAGTTTTCTGGAAATACGCAATAAATTATTGTTAACTCTATGTTCCCAACCATGCTATTGAATACTAGAATGTATTCCTAGCCAGGCACAGTGGCTCACACCTGTGATCCCAGCGCTTTGGGAGGCCGAGGTGGGTGGATCTCCTGAAGTTGGGAGTCAAAGACCAGCCTGGCCAACATAGTGAAATTCTGTCTCTACTAAAAGTTCAAAATTGAGCCGGCTGTGGTGGTGGGCACCTGTAATCCCAGCTACTCAGGAGGCTGAGATAAGAGAGTCATTTGAATCCAGAAGGTGGAGGTTGCAGTGAGCTGAGATCATGCCACATGCCCTGGGCAACAGGGACTCCGTGTCTCAAAGCAACAACAACACAATTTTATTTCTACCGTGTCTTTGTTTGTACCCCTTAACACGCTGCTCTTCAGCCCTTGCCTGCGCCCTTCCCAGCTTCTGGTGCCCAGCACCCTCCTCTCCACCTCCAATAATGTTTAATTAAATGTGTGCACAAGAGAATGCCATGCTGCTGCTTGGCAGATTTTGCATTTGTGACATTATTGTGCTGGACAGCCATTTATGAACTATATTGGACGGTGGCTGAACAATCAGAGCTGATGCTAAATCACTGAGGGTTTTGTAGGGAATGCCTTTAAAAGCAAAATCACAAGATGCCTCCCAAGCTTCCAGGGCAGTTCCACTTCAGGAGCAGTGGGGCTGCGGGCGGGGCGGGGCCCTCTTGAGCCTCTGAGAGCCGCCTCGAGGGGCCGGATTGGGGGGTGCCTCGCTGCTTTTGTTTCAGGTGGGTTCTTTCACGGCCCCTTCTCCTCTTTCTCGTTTCTCTTTGCCAAGTGCCCGGGGACCCAAGTGGGCCCCGGGCTCCGTTCCCAGCTGCCTATCATCCCCCCCAGCTCTTTGTTCGAAATTTCCTCCCACTTTCCCCGGGCCCCCCTCTCCGGGCCTTGGTTTCTGTTTTCTGGCCTTTTCCTCTTTCTGCTTGCATTCTTCCGACCCTCCGCTCGGCTTCAGGTCTCATCTCTATTTCTCCATCCCCAGCGGTGGAGGGTGCTTGCGAGGGGAGCCGTGCAGGGCTGTTTGACACTGACCCCGCCTACCAGCCCCCATCCGGGTCCAAAGGGAACCCCACAGAAGTGAAACGTACCAAAGGGAATCAGGTGTGACCCAGGGGCTGGGTCTCGGAAAACAAGCCTGCATTGAGTTGATCCCAGTCTTCATAAAGAGCTCTTCTCCCAGCCGGGACAGTGGCTCACACCTGTAATCTCGGCATTTTGGGAGGCCGAGGTGGGTGGATCACCTGAGGTCAGGAGTTCGAGACCAGCCTGACCAACATGATGAAACCGTGTCTCTACTGAAAATACAAAAATTAGCCAGGTGTGGCGGTACATGCCTGTAATCCCAGCTACTCAGTAGGCTAAGGCAGGAGAAGCGCTTGAACCCGGGAGGTAGAGGTTGCAGTGAGCCGATATTGCGCCATTGCACTCCAGCCTGGGCAACACAGTGAGACTCTGTCTCCAAAAAAAAAAAAAAACCTCTTCTGCCTGCTGATTCCGTGCCCAGGCATCCAGTGTGCTGTGCCGGTGTCTTTTCCTTGGTGTCTGTCATCGGTTCCTGCTGGGCTTCTAGAGGGGGTTTGAGGCACAGTTGGGAACCATCAGATTTTTTTGTTTGTGTGTGATTTTTTTCTTTGAGACGGAATCTCGCTCTGTCACCCAGGCTAGAGTGCAGTGGCGGTGTGATCTCGGCTCACTGCAACCTCCAACTCCTGGGTTCAAGCAATTCTCGTGCCTCTGCCTCCCAAGTAACTGGGATTACAGGCACGGGCCACCACACCTGGCTAATTTTTTTTGGTATCTGTAGTAGAGATGGGGTTTTACCATGTTGGCCAGGTTGATCTCGAACTCCTGACCTCAGATGATCCACCTGCCTCAGCCTCCCACAGTGCTGGGATTACAGGTGTGAGCCACTGTGCCCAGCTGGAACCATCGATTTTAACTCAAGAGAAAGGCTGAGGTCAGATGCTCAAGGCTGGCTCAGGCCGACTCCTGCTGCAGGAAAATGGATGAACCAACCTGAAGTCAGAAGGAGTTCCTGCCGCTGATCTCTGTTGGTAGAGACACCCAGCTAGCTCAGGAACCAGTCCCAAGCTCACTCAGGAGGTTTGCCAGATTCTCTGAAAGCAGAGAGGTGAGGGTAGTGGTGTGGTGACTGGGATCTGAAGACCCCCTGCCTGGGCCCCTGGGTGGGAGAAGGATTTCTGAGAATGTGATGATCTCCTGCTGGAGCAGGTAGCTTTCTGCTGTGTGCACTCTTAAGTTCTGACAGGCCTGTTCATATTCAGGCAGCTGTTCATTCATGCCCGGTCCTTTCTTTTTAATTCATTAATTTTTGAGACGAGTCTCGCTCTGTCACCCAGGCTGGAGTGCAGTGGGGCGATCTCAGCTCACTACGACCTTCGCTTCCCAGGTTCAAGTGATTCTTCTGCCTCAGCCTCCCGAGTAGCTGGGATTACAGGCACCCGCCACCATGCTCGGCAAATTTTTGTATTTTTAGTAGAGATGGGGTTTCACCATGTTGGTCATGTTGGTCTTGAACTCCTGATCTCAAGTGATTCACCCGCCTCGGCCTCCCGAAGTGCTGGGATTACAAGCATGAGCCACCGCACCTGGTCCTTGTCTTTTCGTTTTTTCACATATCCCATATTAAGTGCTGATATGGACCAGATTCTTTGGGCTCCGAGATGCAGCAGTGAAGGAGATCTGTGGTCCCTCCCTTTACACATCCTACGTTCTCATGAACCAGTGAGCCAGCAGCGTGAGTTCGGAAATGAACTGAGTGATGTCATAGGCTGATGGGAGTGGGGGCAACTTAGGGTAAAATGAGTCAGGGCAGGCACGGCTTGGTTGACCCCTGAGTGATCTGCAAAGCCTGGGGAGATTGTTTCGGGCAGAGGGGGCAGTGGTGCAAAGGCCCTGGGGTCCTTTTAGCTCATGTTTGGGAGCAAGAAGATGCTGTTGTGGCTGAGTGCCACGGGGGAGACGCCCTAAGAGGGGTCCTTCCACAGCATCAGCCCCACGTGGGAAGGACCAGGTCCCCACGCCCTGGCACACACAAGGGGATCTATTCATAGCAGCAGAAAATGTACAGCTAGCTGGGAGCAGTGGCTCTTGTCTGTCATCATAGCACTTTGGGAGGCTGAGGCCGGCAGATCACAAGATCAGGAGATCGAGACCATCCTGGCTGATGTGGTGAAACCCCATCTCAACTAAAACACACAAAATTAGCTGGGCATGGTGGTGGGCTCCTGTAGTCCCAGTTATTCGGGAGCCTGAGGCAGGGGAATCGCTTGAACCCGGGAGGCAGAGGTTGTAGTGAGCCGAGATCGCGCCACTGCACTCCAGCCTGACGATAGAGCAAGACTCCATCTCAAAAAAAAAAAAAAAAAAATGAAAAAAGAAAATGTACAGCACGCGCTTTCTGTCCAAACATATCCGTAACAGGTGTCCTGGCTATGGGCCATGCTCATAGCATGTTGTGCAAATGGGGTATTTTCTTTTTTTTTTTTTTTTTTTTTTTCTTTTTTGAGCCAGAGTCTCTGTCACCCAGGCTGGGGTGCAGTGGCGCGATCTTGGCTCAGCCTCCTGGTTTAAGCAATTCCCCTGCCTCAGCCTTCCAAGTAGCTGGGACTGCAGGTGCGCACTACCACACCTGGCTAATTTTGTGTATTTTGAGTAGAGACAGAGTTTTACCATGTTAGGATGGTCTTGATCTCCTGATGTGATCCCCCCACCTCGGCCTCCCAGAGCACTGGGATTACAGGCGTGAGCCGCCGCGCCTGGCCGCAAATGATCTGTTCACATTCGACATTCTGTAGTAGCCAGGTTCCCCACAAATTCTGGTTTGCTACTTCTAGAAAAGAATGCTGCTCCTCAAGCTTGGTGGGCTTTCTGCTTCCCTGGGAAGGATGCGTGCCTGAGGCCCTTTCTTCCTGAATCGTGGTCACCAGCGCTCGCCCTCCTCTGGCTGGGCTTGTCACTCCTGGGGAGCCTTCTGACCTTGGGGTCTTCCACCTGTGATGTGCTTCTGCTTGGCTCGGCAGGTTTGCCACCCAGGAGAGGAACGGTCTGCTGCTCTACAATGGCCGCTTCAACGAGAAGCATGACTTCATCGCCCTGGAGGTCGTGGACGAGCAGGTGCAGCTCACGTTCTCCGCAGGTGGGGCCTTCTCCCTAGGCAGGGCAGCTCCCAGCAATTCACCGATGCTTTGCGCATTAGAACGACCCTCGCCCCATGCGGCACCTCCAAGCTGCTTGCCCTTTCATCCCTCAGTTGTAGGTCGAGGAATCTGTCTTCCTGAAGAAATCCAAAGTGCACAAAGATGTTCATAGCAGTGTTATTTATAGTGCTGGAAATGTGAACGATCTGGCGTTTCAGAAACCGAGGAATCCTTAAATTAAGTGTAGTACATCTCTAGATTAAAAATATCATTGCCGGCCAGGCACGGTGGCTCACGCCTATAATCCCAGCACTTTGGGAGGCTGAGGCAGGTGAATCCCCTGAGGTCAGGAGTTCAAGACCAGGCTGGCCAACATGGTGAAACCCCATCTCTACTGAAAATACAAAAATTAGCTGGGTGTCATGGCGCATGCCTGTAATCCCTGCTACTCGGGAGGCTGAAGCAGAGAATCACTTGAACCCAGGAGTCTGAGGTTGCATTGAACCAAGATTGTGCCATTTCACTCCAGCCTGGGCAACAGAGTGAGACTCCATCTTAAAAATGTATATGTATGTATGTATGTATTGACAAGTATATTTAAGAGTGTGTTTGTGTTTGTGTGTGTGTATATATATATTTATAGAGAGAGAGAGACAGACAGACAGACAGAGAGACAGGGTGGCCAGGAAAGGTGGCTCATGCCTGTAATCCCAGCACTTTGAGAGGCAAGGCAGGCAGCTTGCTTGAGCCCAGAAGTTCAAGATCAGCCTGGGCAACATAGCAAGACCCCATCTCTTTTAAAAAAAATATATATATATATTGACAAGGCCATTAAGCATGTTATTCCAGTTGTTAGAAAAGAACATTTCTCCAAATTACCAACGGGTGTATCTGTTTTTTTCTGGCACACATGAGGTTTTTATTGTTTTTGTTTTGACACAGAGTCTCACTCTTTCCCACAGGCTGGCGTGCAGTGGTGCAATATCGGCTCACTGCGTCCTCTACCTCCCAGGTGCAAGCGATTCTCATGCATCAGCCTCTTGAGTAGCTAGAAATACAGGCACGTTTCACCATGCATGAGTCACTTTTGTATTTTTAGTAGAGACGGAGTTTCACCATGTTGACCAGGTTGGTCTTGAACTCCTGACCTCAAGTGATCCGACCACCGTGGCCTCCCAAAGTGCTGGGATTACAGGTGGGAGCCACCACACCTGACTTGGCACACTTGATTATTTGGAGTGAACTGTGCCATTTCCTCCTTCACTGGGAAGTTCTCCAAAATGGCTCAGAGGTGCTTCCATCTCTAGAACCCCGGCCCATGTTAAACGACCTGCGTGTGATAGTAGAGGATGGAGCTTGGTTTTCTGTGTGCAATAAAGAAGGCACCCGTAACAGCAGCCGACCGCGGTGGGAAAGGCGGCCACGGCCCTCCAGGCTCTGTGAGGTGGGATTAGGCTATTCCCCTGGCCAGGGTCCCCAGACCCACACCCCTGTTTCCAGAACAGCTGGTTCCCTGGAGATGGCATTCCCTGCCCAGGACCTGGTACCAACCGCACCTGTTCTTTGGTGCCCCTGAAGCTCCTTCCTCCCAGCTGCTGCTGACTTGGGGTTGTGCCCCGGAATGCCCGAGGGAACTCGCCCACTGCACTGCAGCAGAAGCTGGAGTGGAAGCGACAAACACCCCAAAGCAGAGATGCACAGGAGCCGAGTGTGCAGCCTCACGGCGGGATGAGTTACGGGGTTGGAAAGTTGTCAGAAACCTGAGATGACATTTATGTGATTGGACCTAAAGGGGAATGGGTTTTGATGATTTTTGTCTACATTGATGCAATGCATGAGAAAAAGGATTCGACCCCTGCTGTGGTGTAGGCATGACTACCGCTAGCATGAACAGAGGAGCTTCCCGTGGAAGCAGGAACAAGCCCTGGGTGCAATGGCTCACGCCTGTAATCCCAGCCCTTTGGGAGGCCAAGGCAGGCAGGTCACAAGGTCAGGAGTTTGAGACCAGCCTGACCAACATGGCGAAACCCTGTCTCTACTAAAAATACCAAAATTAGCCGGGGCACGGTGGCGCATGCCTGTAATCCCAGGTACTCAGGAGGCTGAGGCAGGAGAATCGCTGGAATCCAGGAGGCGGAGGTTGCAGTGAGCTAAGATCACGCCACTGCACTCCAGCCTGGGCGACAGAGTGAGACTCCGTCTCAAAAATACAACTGGAAAAGAGGAACAAGAATTACTTTTGTAACCAGAAAAGAAAAGGGATGGAGCGGTGGGGGCCTCTCACCATGGTGTCGTGGGGAGGGGAAGGGGGACGTGGCTATGTGCTCCTGTCTCCCTGCCCACCTGCAGCCTCACAGCCCAATCCTCGGTCCCTGGAGGCCTCGCCAACCTCTGCTTTGTCTCTGGGTCTCCCTCCCACCATGCAGGTGAGACGACGACCACCGTGGCTCCGAAGGTTCCTGGTGGTGTGAGTGACGGGCAGTGGCACTCGGTGCAAGTGCAGTACTACAACAAGGTAGGACGGGCCCCCCAGCTCAAGAAGGTGCCCTGGGGCCGGGCATGGTGGCTCAGGCCTGTAATCCCAGCACTTTGATAGGCCGAGGTGGGCAGATCACCTGAGGTCAGGAGTTCAAGACTAGCCTGGCCAACGTGATGAAACCCTGTCTCTACTAAAAATACAAAAATTAGACGGGCGTGGTGGTGCGTGCCTGTAATTCCGTCTACTCAGTAGGCGGAGACAGGAGAATCACTTAAACCCGGGAGGCGGAGGTTGCAGCGAGCTGAGATCGTGCCACTGCACTCCAGCCTGGGCGACAGAGTGAGACTCTGTCTAAAAAATCGCCCTGAATTTTCTGTCTTAAGATGTTCATGTGCTGAAATTTTTTGTAAATGTGCTATTGGAAAGACTGGTTTAGGAAATGCACGTTGTGGAGGCCTGTGTCCATACACCTGAGCCTTGTGCGAGGGGCAGAGTCCCACCTGGAGCTCTGGACAGGGGAGGGACACAGGGACCCCACAGATCACCTGCGCCAAGGGAGGGGCACAGAAGGGCTTATGCATTTGCAGCCACCTTGGCCAGAGTCTTTACTAATGGCTAAAATTCCAGGCCGTTCAGATGGCTCCATAGCCAAAATTGTCCACTCTACCTGGATGTACCTGGAGAGTCAGAACGCTCTCCAAGGAAGTCCGGGAAGGCTGGGCGGTCTCGGTTTCACTTTATTTTGAAGTCCGGGAAGGCTGGGTGGTCTCAGTTTCACTTTATTCTGCTGTTCCTCGGCTTGTAAGGGCACACTTTGCTGGGTTTTGCATCAAAATGCTGTCGTTTCCACGGCTTTGACTTTGCAAACCCCCTTTCTCTTCTTGGGAAGCTTCCAGGGTGTGCCCCTGCTTGGTCATGGGTCTGCGTTGGTCTTACCAGCCCATCCTGGAGCCCAGCCATGCCCCTTGCGCCCCCTTCCCAGGCTTCTGCAAGGCCAGGGCCTAAGCTTGGCTGGCAGACGAGGGCCCCTTTGTCCTCCATGAGAATTGAGCCAGTCCTGTGGAGACAGCGGCTTCCTTCTTTCACAGCCACTGCGCCTGGCTGCGACTCACCAGCAGTTGGGGTCCAGCCACCGGGCCTGGGGTTCCAGTGCCGCCTCCACTGGCTTCCACGCTCCTTTCCCTGCCGGCCGCTGCTGTCCCTCTGCCCGCCCAGCCCGCCCCTCACATCTGCCTTGACCAAGTCCCACCATCTCCCAGGCAGGCCACACAGGCTCCAAGTAGTGGTCGCTGTCACAGCGACCCTGGTTTCCGCCCTCTGTCCCGTCAGAGCCAGCCCACGGCAGGCGGAGCTTGAGCCTCATTTGGGACAAGGGCAGATGGGAGGTGCTTGTGGGGTTTGGGGGAACATTAAGAGGGCTGGCAGGTGCCTGGGCGGGGTCTGTTGGATGTCACCCCTAGTGGGGCCTGGCCGAGGGATCGAGAACCATGTGCTTGACAGAGGTGCAGGGGCTGGTGGGGTGGGCGTCCGGGCTGAGCAAGTGGAAGAGAGTGGGCCTTGCAGATGTGGATGTTTGCTGCCATTGTTCCGCCACTGTTCGTTTCAAAGACCAAGTCTCTTCTTGACATAGTGCCGTCCTGTGGCTCCGGGGACGTGCTGGCCGGTGTGAAGTGTGTTCACCTGGGCCAGCTGCGCAGTGGCGCCCGTGTTCTGCTGCCTGGCGCTGCCCACTCTGACACCCTGGCCCTTCCTCTCGTGCCCTTCCAGCCAACCGGGGCTGGACACCAGAGCCCGATGCCCCCGGGGTGGTGCTTCTTGAGGGCTGGGCCACAGGGGACCCTGGAGACCGTGGCCCATTGTGAGGGAAGCATGGGGCATGGGTGGTGCATTTTCTTTCCTGCATGATCAGAAAACCAAGTCCAGGGATGAACGTTTTTTCCCAGGGATGGGGTGGACGGGGGAGGTTGAGTCAGACTTGGTCTCCCCATCAGTGTCCGTCACCCAGAATCATCATTCTCTGCCGGTGGCAGAAGCAGCAGTGTGTCCACAGTTGTGGAGGGACTTGGGAGCAGGATGCCACCATTGCCACATCCATCTACACTCGCCCTGGCTCTAGACACAGAGTGTTCACTGGGGCCTGCCTGCCACCGCCCCCTTCCAGGTGCTCAGAGGAGCAAAGTCCCCATGCAGGACGCCACCTGCACTGTCCCAGAGGAGCGGGGCCTCGCGTAAGAAGATAAACAGAGGACGGCGGATTAGTCTCCACAGCTTCCGTGTCTGAGGCTGGGTCCTTTCAGCGGTGCCTGAGCAAAGCCCCTGCGGGGATTAGGTCTTTCCTGCCAGTGCTGGATGTTTCTCTCCCTTGCCCGAGGTTATTGATGGAGGAAAGCAACCGGTTTTTACTATGTCTTTAGCATCCATTAGGAGGTCTGACGGGGCCACACGCTTGGGAATGTGTTTGCAGGGATCGTGAGCTTCTGCCCGTGGGAGAGGCGGCCCCACCGCTCCGTGCCTTGGTCTCGGAGTGGCGGCTCTGACAAACACAGGTGTAGAGGCCACCTCTGGAGTGTCCCTGAGCCAGGCAGGACCAGTCAGGTTGGGAGTGGTGTGGGGGCCTGGAGGGGTGGCAGGGGTCTGCCTGAGGTCAGGAAGACGAGCCTCCGGGGCTGATTCCTGTCCTCTCCGGGCCTCCACTCTGTATCCAGTGTCACCCCTGGTCCCATCCTTCAGCAGCCACCTCGGGGGTAACCTCGGGCCACCCGGGAAGGTTTGGGGGAAGAGAACCGTCTCAGGATGGGAGGGGGACCCCCACGGGAAGGAGGTGTTGCGCCGGATGATGAGGGCTGTCCAGGGCCATGGCCAGGTGAGAGGGGCTCAGGGCTGGAGCTACAAGGGTGGTCTCCAGGGCAGTGGGTGGCGTGGCCCAGCGAACCCCCTGCACATGCGTCCCCGCCTGCCTCGGCTAATGTGAAGGGTCACCCCCTCCCCTGCCCCAGCCGTGTTCTTTTCCCAGCATGCTCCGTTCACCTGCCTTACCACCTCACCGGTTTTGGTTTTTTGTATTTTGGGGGATGATTAAGAAAACGTATTTGAAAAGATTTGGCGTGCAGCAGTCTGGCGAGGGTGGAAGCATTGGTGGGGGCCGTACCGCTGCCCACCCGCCTTTCCAGTCTCACTGTCTGTCCCCCGCCCTCTGGAGCGACTGTGTGTCTGAGGCGTGGGCCACCTGCATTTCAGGTCTGAGTACGACCTCCTGGCTGTCACCTCTAGGAATGGCCTCCTGTACTGCGTCCACGTGGGACCTGTGGGAGACGCCTCAGGGGTCCTTCCCCATCCGCCAGTGCCCAGGGCCTGGGGTGCTCCCATGGGACCAGCCCTGGAAGGGTTGTTTACAAAGGGCTGGGCAGGGCGTGGGGCATCCTTGGGGGGCGGCGTGGCGCCCAGGGCTGGAGGCAGTGCCCGCAGAGCTGCGACAGCCCTTATTCCTGGAGCATCAAGGGAAAGGGCAGGATGGAGCCCAGAAAGAAGGGGTCATGGTCAGAAGCCACGGGAGAGGGGCACAGACCACCTGGGAGAGGCGCAGCTAGCCTGGGGCCCTCCCGACACCCCTCCCCTCCCTCGCTGTCTCCTCCCATTCAGCTCCCCGCTGGCCAAAGCCACTAGAAGCCATGGGGCAGGGAACCCTCCCAGCTAGGGAGCAGGCAGAGTCTGCTTATTTTTCCTTTCTGCTTGATGACATCTTAGACCAGACGGTTTATTGGTCTAATTCACCTTCAGCAGAACCAAAGGGTGCTTTGGAGTCGAATGTTTTTCCAGGAAGGTCTTTTCAAAGGCAGGCGTTTGCACGTTCGTGGGGAGCTCCGCCAGGCACGGGTGGAACAACAAGCCCCTGCTCCCACAGCTGCCCCAGGAGTCTTGGGCCGAGTGGGGATTTTCAATCCTTGCTTCACCCCAGGCGTGGTTGGTTGGTTGGTTTTCCCCCCAGGTTGACTTGAAGGTGTTTCCACCACAACTTCCAAAAGGGCGAACGTGCCTGACAGAAAACGTTCTTCCAACTTGAGATTCGGGTTTTGCCCTCATGAGGTTTAAGCGTTTGCTGTTCCCTTGTTGCCCTTGGCATCGTTGGTTTTTGGGAGGTTTGGGGAGAGGCTTATTCCCCTTAGAGACAGCGCTGGGGAGGGGCCATCTGGAAGGACAGAGACCCTCGGTGCCTCGCTGAGGGGACAGTCCCTGACTTTGCTTCCCTGGGGCTACCTGCGGGAATCATCTGTAGACCTCACCTTGCTCCAGGCGTTCATTGTGAGGCCTGTTCTGGGCAACGTTCCTGGCCTCTGGCCCCTAGACTCCAGCTCTGCTCTGAACCCACGTTTTGACGGCCAAGAGGTCTTGCCCCTGAGGTTGTACCGTGGATGAGAACCACCGGGCTGGTGAGATGGCAGCTCAACTGAGAGGAGTCCTGGTGGCTTCAGGTGGAGATGTGAGACCAGGGGCCAGGCCTGAGGCAGCAGGTGCCACACAGGTGGTGGGTGTTCTTCAGGGGGCACTTGGCGTCTGTCACCTGGCCGGGACGATGCTGTGCTGGCCGAAATCACCAGGCTGACCACGTGGCTAGACCACATGTGGTGAAGCCCCGTGCCCGAGCTGGCTGCTAGAGTCCTTGGGACCCTGCCTTGGCAATTGGCTTCCTCTGGTTCCAGTGATTCTAAGATGGCGCGGGACGGCCTTTGGCACGTTGTGGAAAGTGGTTTTAGAAAGGCAGCGTGAGCTCCTGTTGTAGCAAACCTCCTCTCGATGACCAGCCTCTGCTTCTGTTGAGCAGACGATCTAGGTGCTTTGAGGTTCCCATGGAGTAGAGGTGACCCCAAGGGTCCCACTGTCAGTAGGGATTGCTCACCTGTTTCTCGTCGGGTCATTCCAGACTGCTTGAGTCTGTGCTGCACATTAAACCCCAAAGTCCCAAGGAGAATGAGAGGTGACCGCCACCCCCACGAGCACCCTGGGGAATGGAGCTTCTCCGTTTCTGCAAATGTTCCAAA